TTTTCTTTCGCCCCTTGACGCTCGGATAAAACCTGCCCTATCCCTAATTGCCAACAAGAACATATTTTTCAGTTGGTTCCAACTACTACTACTTCCTTTTTAGCCGAAAAACGCATCGCTAAAAAACAATTAAAACGAGAATTAGAAGGAGTAAATGATTTATTTGCTTTGGCTATCCAAACCATTCACCGCTTATGAAAACCCACCAACTTTAAATATGTCGCTGTCCCGGAACTCCATAAATGTCAAACTCCTTGTCATTGACGCAGCAAAAAGCAAAAAAAGACTAGTTGGAAGCAACATAACGAGAATGCTTGTCATTGTCCGCAAAAGCACGATTGCTTGCGTAATTGACATATTCATATGCTCTCAACGGACTTCCTGCCCCCTAAATATCAGCATCCAAAATGCGGTTTAGGTCAATTTTCTGATGCTGGCTCTCCCTCGGGCTGTTGAGACCACCGAGCCTACATAGCCCATGATATCTGACCTTATGGATTAGTAGATATGAAACGAGTATCACATTTAAGAGTTGGCGGCAAACCTATCCGCAGTGCCGAAGGAGTAGTCTTATATCTCATTAAATACCTCGCTAAATCTTTTCAAATGCGGGAGAATAAAGTATTAAGCCAAAAAGTCGGCCTATTACCTGGAATGGGAATTTATAAAATTTTCCGGGTTATCTATGGTTATGAGAACGGACAAGCCTTTATTCAGCAAAAAAGAAAAAAACCCCTCACTTCCTCCCAAGTCTTTATCAATAATGAATATGGTTTTCAGCAAGAAGCAGAGCAAGAATTTAGCCCTTATTTTGACGAGAAAGAGCATTTAAAAAAAGATGCTCGGAAAATCTTACAAAAAAGGGAGCCACAACCAACCAATAATGGTAAAATTGCGGATCTCTTAAAATTATGCTTGCGTTATTCTACTAAAAGCAAAATCAAGCAAAACCAATTCTGAAAGCCGTGTGATACTAGCGAAGAAAGCACCTGAAAAAAAGGCCAAGGCTGAAAAATCCAATGTCCTATAACCAAGAGCCATCACACCGAGCCAATTATCAGGTGGGAGTTTAGTTTTAATGGCAAAAGGGCTTATTCTGATTATCAGAAACATATTTTACCTAATTTATCCCGGATAAAATTACCGGCTTTTACTAAATTCCAAGATTACCAAGTCCAAGATTTAGATTTCATTAAGTTCGCTCATGCCGCTAAATTGCCGTGAAATAAAAGGATAAATGAATATGAACCTTTGGAGGAAATTGGAGAAAGTGCTGACAGTCAAGCCTGGCGCGATAGTGTTCCCACTGAATTAATTTACAATCATATTTATTTAAAAGAGATTAGGTCGCAAATTAGCGGTGGCTATTCCTGGGCTGGTTTGTCTACGGATGATGCCATTAAGAGATATGCGGATTATTAAGGGTTTTTTTGTTATTTTGGTTCCCTCCATACTGAAAAAGAAGTAGCCGACGGGTGAAAATAATAGATCCCTGGTAAATAAAGAAAATGACTAATGGCTATGAACTAGCCCGAGTAAAGGAGTGATCCGTTCTCTGGTTCTCCTCGTTAATCAGACCTAAAACGGACATTTATAATTATGTTAGAGCAAGTCCAAGAAGCCGTAGCAGCAGGTTGAAAGTTGTTATTTGGTGCCAAAACCACGGATAAAGATGATGCGGGCGTAGTCCCTCGGTTTTTAGGCTTTTTACAGGCTAATCCGATACTCTTGCTTCTGTTAGGTCTTTATTTGGTAGTATTAGGTATCAAAACCACACGCAAACTGATTACGGGTTATTAGTAATATGCTAGCAAAGTGTTATGTGAATTGACGAAGTATTAAAAAAAATGTGAAAGCATAAGCAAATTATTTGATGCGTCTTTTGCTGGATAGCAGGATTAGGCATTTGTTTATGAGTAGCAATTAATATGTTAAAAAGGAAGTAAGTAAAAAAATGAGTATCCGCATTTGTATCTATTGTGAAAAGGAAAAAGAAACCAAACAATTTTGAGTCCGTTGAAGTGCTAGTTTAGGGGTTTGTTATGGTTGTTTAGCAAATAAGTTTAGAGATTATGAAGCGAAAAAAATTATTGAAGTAGAAAAAATTTTAAAGTAATATGCAGATCTATATAGTTAAATACGAAAAAAATAATGAGGAATATAAAAAAGTAGTCTTAAAAATGACTAATGAATTTACGGGTGAAACCGCTTGATATAGTGGATTTTTAAACGAAGTTGAGGAGCAAAGAAAATGAGGTAAAAAAGGGGAATTAGAGCAAGTGGCAACCATTTATAAGGATGAGCCAAGTAAAAAATAACGAGTAAAATATGGAAGTTATTCAAGGGCGTTGTCTTAAATGCGAATACATAGGTTGAGTATTTAGGGCCGTAAGTAGATATACTATTGATTACTGCTTGCCTTGTATCCAAAAAGAGTTTGCCAAACAAAAAGAATATGACTAGTATTTATCAAGGTTTTTTAAAATTGGCTGAAATGATGAATGGAGCCAAAATTGAAGGGCAATTTGCCAAAGATGTCTTATGATTAATTGCTTTTTTATTTGGTTTTTGGTTATTAATTATGCTCGCTTTAACCCCTTACTGATTAATTAAGTGAATGTTTAATCGTCGCTAATATGGATTACAATAATTTATTTAAAAATGGCTCCTTGAAACTTATTCCACAATTTATTGGCAAAGTCGTGTATGATGGTTTTGGAATGAAAAAAAGTCAAGGGAGCGAGCAGATAGTTATGTTGGTCTCCTGTCTGGTGGCCGTATTCTTACTTTATAAATTGGTCTGGTTAGTGTGAAAAACATTGAGATTTATTTTAGGTTGTTTAGAGTGGTAATATGACAAATACAATAATAAAATGAACCATAATTTTAGATCTAATATTTAGCCTGGGTCAATTTCTCCTAATCTGATGAAAACAATTTCAATTTAAGCGACTAAAGAAAAAAGGTAATCAAGCCTTATTGATGGATCAAATGGATACGAAAGGCAAAGTTAAAATCCCTGTGGGTTCGACCTGTTATTTTGTGGATGAAGTTAATTTATATTTTAGAGGAGTGGAATATTCCAAAAATCAGAAAGTTCACTCTGGGATTGAGGACTTTTGTGCCTTAGCCCGACATTTTGATAAAAAAGTATTTTTTTCCGTTCAAAGGACTAATCAATTATGAGTTGCCATTAGAGATATTGCTAATATCTATATTAAAGTTAAAGGCATTTATACGCCCTTATTTTTGCCCTGATGTAGTGTATTGCGATTGGAAGTTTATGAGGATATAAAATTAGCCGAGGAATGAAGTAGTAATATGGCTCCTTATCAGAGAGGTGGATTTTTTTCTCTCTTTGGCGGTAATGATTACGACCAAGCCAAAAAGCGTCTTAATATTAAAGAGTATAAAGTATTCTTAAAAAAACAAGATTTTCAAAATTATGATACTAAATTCTTTGGAGCCTTATTGCCTTTGCTAAATGATAAAAGAAAAGAAGCCAATGTGCCAAAAGGACAAATACCCGTTCCTAATGCCCTAAAAGGGATTATTAAGCAAGAATATTTTACGGTAAAAGAAAAACCCCGTCCTACTCTCTGACAACGAATTAAAGAGATGTTTACTCCTGC